ACTTAGACCTGAGTGCAAAAATGGAGGCTCTAGCCCCTTCCAGAGCTGAGATATGGAAACTCAAAAATTCGGCCCAAAAAAAAACCGACAGTGGTACCCCTTACGTTTTTTTTTGGGTGAAAAATTAAGTTTCTCCAATCTTCCCAAAACTCTGGATTCTGATAGAGGGCCATGAGACTTAGACCTGAGTGCAAAAATGGAGGCTCTAGCCCTTCCAGAGCTGAGATATCGGAAACTCAAAAATTCGGCCCGAAAAAAAAACGACAGTGGTACCCCTTACGTTTTTTTTTTCGGGCGAAAAATTAAGTTTCCCAATCTTCCCAAAACTCTGGATTTGATAGAGGGCCATGAGACTTAGACCTGAGTGCAAAAATGGAGGCTCTAGCCCCTTCCAGAGCTGAGATATCGAAACTCAAAAATTCGGCCCGAAAAAAAACGACAGTGGTACCCCTTACGTTTTTTTTTTTTCGGGCGAAAAATTAAGTTTCTCCAATCTTCCCAAAACTCTGGATTCTGATAGAGGGCCATGAGACTTAGACCTGAGTGCAAAAATGGAGGCTCTAGCCCCTTCCAGAGCTGAGATATGGAAACTCAAAAATTCGGCCCGAAAAAAAAAACGACAGTGGTACCCCTTACGTTTTTTTTTTTCGGGCGAAAAATTAAGTTTCTCCAATCTTCCCAAAACTCTGGATTTTGATAGAGGGCCATGAGACTTACACCTGAGTGCAAAAATGGAGGCTCTAGCCCCTTCCAGAGCTGAGATATCGAAACTCAAAAATTCGGCCTTAATTTTTCACCAGAAAAAAAAAAAACGTAAGGGGTACCACTGTCGTTTTTTTTTTTTTCGGGCGCGATTTTTGAGTTTCCATATCTCAGCTCTGGAAGGGGCTAGAGCCTCCATTTTTGCACTCAGCCTAAGTCTCATGGCCTCTTCAGAATCCAGAGTTTTGGGAAGATTGGAGAAACTTAATTTTTCGCCCGAAAAAAAAAAAACGTAAGGGGTACCACTGTCGTTTTTTTTTTCGGGCCGAATTTTTGAGTTTCGATATCTCAGCTCTGGAAGGGGCTAGAGCCTCCATTTTTTGCACTCAGGTCTAAGTCTCATGGCCCTCTATCAGAATCCAGAGTTTTGGGAAGATTGGAGAAACTTAATTTTTCGCCCGAAAAAAAAAAACGTAAGGGGTACCACTGTCGTTTTTTTTTTCGGCCGAATTTTTGAGTTTCGATATCTCAGCTCTGGAAGGGGCTAGAGCCTCCTTTTTGCACTCAGGTCTAAGTCTCATGGCCTCTATCAGAATCCAGAGTTTTGGGAAGATTGGAGAAACTTAATTTTTCGCCCTAAAAAAAAACGTAAGGGGTACCACTGTCGTTTTTTTTTTTTGGCCGAATTTTTGAGTTTCGATATCTCAGCTCTGGAAGGGGCTAGAGCCTCCATTTTTGCACTCAGGTCTAAGTCTCATGGCCCTCTATCAGAATCCAGAGTTTTGGGAAGATTGGAGAAACTTAATTTTTCGCCCAAAAAAAAAACGTAAGGGGTACCACTGTCGTTTTTTTTTTTGGCCGATTTTTGAGTTTCGATATCTCAGCTCTGGAAGGGGCTAGAGCCTCCATTTTTGCACTCAGGTCTAAGTCTCATGGCCCTCTATCAGAATCCAGAGTTTTGGGAAGATTGGAGAAACTTAATTTTTCGCGCCGAAAAAAAAACGTAAAGGGGTACCACTGTCGTTTTTTTTTTTTCGGGCCGAATTTTTGAGTTTCGATATCTCAGCTCTGGAAGGGGCTAGAGCCTCCATTTTTGCACTCAGGTCTAAGTCTCATGGCCCTCTATCAGAATCCAGAGTTTTGGGAAGATTGGAGAAACTTAATTTTCGCCGAAAAAAAAAAAACGTAAGGGGTACCACTGTCGTTTTTTTTTTCGGGCCGAATTTTTGAGTTTCGATATCTCAGCTCTGGAAGGGGCTAGAGCCTCCATTTTTTTACACTCAGGTCTAAGTCTCATGGCCCTCTATCAGAATCCAGAGTTTTGGGAAGATTGGAGAAACTTAATTTTTCGCCCGAAAAAAAAAAACGTAAGGGGTACCACTGTCGTTTTTTTTTTCGGGCCGAAATTTTTGAGTTTCCATATCTCAGCTCTGGAAGGGGCTAGAGCCTCCATTTTTGCACTCAGGTCTAAGTCTCATGGCCCTCTATCAGAATCCAGAGTTTTGGAAGATTGGAGAAACTTAATTTTTCGCCCCAAAAAAAAAACGTAAGGGGTACCACTGTCGTTTTTTTTTCGGGTCGAATTTTTGAGTTTCGATATCTCAGCTCTGGAAGGGGCTAGAGCCTCCATTTTTGCACTCAGGTCAAAGTCTCATGGCCCTCTATCAGAATCCAGAGTTTTAAGAAGATTGGAGAAACTTAAATTTTTCGCCCGAAAAAAAAACAAAAGGGGTAACACTGTCGTTTTTTTTTTTCAGGTCGAAATTTTGAATTTCGATATCTCAGCTCTGGAAGGGTCTAGAGCCTCCATTTTTGCACTCAGGTCAAAGTCTCGTGGCCCTCTATCAGAATCCAGAGTTTTAAGAAGATTGGAGAAACTTAATTTTTCGCCCGAAAACGAAAAAAACGAAAGGGGTAACACTGTCGTTTTTTTTTGGGTCGAAATTTTGAATTTCGATATCTCAGCTCTGGAAGGATCTAGAGCCTCAATTTTTGCACTCAGGTCAAAGTCTTGTGGCCCTTTATCAGAATCCAGAGTTTTAAGAAGATTGGAGAAACTTAATTTTTCGCCCAAAAACTAAAAAAAACGAAAGGGGTAACACTGTCGTTTTTTTTTCAGGTCGAAATTTTGAATTTCGATATCTCAGCTCTGAAAGGGTCTAGAGCCTCCATTTTTGCACTCAGGTCAAAGTCTCGTGGCCCTCTATCAGAATCCAGAGTTTTGAGAAGATTGGAGAAACTTAATTTTTCGCCCGAAAACGAAAAAAAACGAAAGGGGTAACACTGTCATTTTTTTTTCGGGTCGAAATTTTGAATTTCGATATCTCATCTCTAAAAGGGTCTAGAGCCTCCATTTTTGCACTCAAGTCAAAGTCTTGTGGCACTCTATCAGAATCCAGAGTTTTGAGAAGATTGGAGAAACTTAATTTTTCGCCCAAAAATGAAAAAAACGAAAGGGGTAACACTGTCGTTTTTTTTTTCGGGTCGAAATTTTGAATTTCGATATCTAAGCTCTGGAAGGGTCTAGAGCCTCCATTTTTGCACTCAGGTCAAAGTCTCGTGGCCCTCTATCAGAATCCAGAGTTTTGAGAAGATTGGAGAAACTTAATTTTTCGCCCGAAAACGAAAAAAACGAAAGGGGTAACACTGTCGTTTTTTTTTTTTTGGGTCGAAATTTTGAATTTCGATATCTCAGCTCTGGAAGGGTCTAGAGCCTCCATTTTTGTACTCAGGTCAAAGTCTCGAGGTACCACTGTCGGTTTTTTTTTCGGGTCAAAATTTTGAGTTTCTCTGATCTTCTTGAAACTCTGGATTCTGATAGAGGGCCATGAGACTTAGACCTGAGTGCAAAAATGGAGGCTCTAGACCCTTCCAGAGCTGAGATATATATAATGGTATAAATGCTATGTGGGATGTCCATATCTCAGCTCAGGAAGGGTCTAGAGCCTCTAGAGCCCATCCTCTGATGGCTACTTCCAGCAGGATAATGCACCATGTCACAAAGCTCAAATCATTTCAAATTTGGTTTCTTGAACATGACAATGAGTTCACTGTACTAAAATGGCCCCCACAGTCAATAGAGCATCTTTGGGATGTGGTGGAACGGGAGCTTCGTGCCATGGATGTGCATCCCACAAATCTCCATCAACTGCAAGATGCTATCCTATCAATATGGGCCAACATTTCTAAAGAATGCTTTCAGCAGCTTGTTGAATCAATGTCACATAGAATTAAGGCAGTTCTGAAGGCGAAAGGGGGTCAAACACACTAACAGCAGCCATATCACCCTGTAGCCCAAGACTGGTTGCCCATTAAAGCTAAGCAGGGCTGAGCCTGGTTAGTACCTGGATGGGAGACCTTCTGAGAAAGCCAGGTTGCTGCTGGAAAAGGTGTTAGTGAGGCCAGCAGGGGGTGCTCACCCTGTGGTCTGTGTGGGTCCTAACACCCCAGTATAGTGATGGGGACACTATGCTGTCAAAAAGAGCACCGTCCTTCGGATGAGACGTTAAACCGAGGTCCTGACTCTCTGTGGTCATAAAAAATCCCAGAATGTCTTTCGTAAGAGCAGGGGTGTAACCCCGGCATCCTGGCCAAATTTGCCCAGTGGCCTCTGTCCATCATGGCCTCCTAATCATCCCCATATACACCAATTGGCTTCATCACTGTCTCCTCTCCACCAGTAAGCTGGTGTGTGGTGAGCGTTCTGGCGCAGTATGGCAGCCGTCGCATCATCCAGGTGGATGCTGCACATTGGTGGTGGTTTGAGGAGATCCCCCCCTTCTATGTGAAGCGCTTTGAGTGTCCAGAAAAGCGCTATATAAATGTAACGAATTATTATTATTATTATTATTATTATTACTATTACTAGTATGGTGTTCCTAATAATCCTTTAGGTGAGTGTATATACATATACACACGTTTACCTTCCTATGATTACAGTACCCTTAAATATCTTTCATGTAGGGTCATTTATCTGTTTGTGAATGTAAAAGGTCTGCAAAGTTTTAAATATCAAAGTGCACAATAAAAAAAAAATCCTAAAAGAAAAAAAAAAAGACTCTGAACCGTAACCAGAACTGATCAGCAATTACTGCACAACCAAAGGATGAGGAATCAAACTCGAATTGATACAGTAAAACCAACCCGCTTTACGGTTTGTGAAACTGTGTATGAAGTGCTGAGGAACAGGGGCACTTTAATGGTTTGTAATTGCTTTGGATGTGGAATGCACTGCAAACTTGGAATATTGCAGTTGGGATATATATTTAGAGTAATATAATAGAGTAGATATATAAACCACCCTTAGCATTTCTGCCACTACAATCTCACCTCCTTTCTTGTGGGTCCACACTGCTGAAAGTCACGCTGTTGATTGGATAATGTCTCCTGAAGAACACCCTGCAAACCCCAAACCTCTCACAGTCAACTTGGTGTGACAGTAACAACCTGTCCTCACATTTCTATTGCTTAGAGAAAACTGGAAAATTCTATAGTTTTATTTTCAAAAGCAAAAAGGGGGATCGGCGGGCGTACCTGCGTTGACTGTCTGTCAGTGTAATGCCTTGGGCGGACACCTTAAAGTGGACCACAGTCGCAGAGGGCCGGGGGCTGCGTGACATCGTGGCTCCTGTGGCCTTGGCGATAGCCTGGGGTCCCGTGAGAGACTCGGTCTCCACTGAGTTCAGGTACAGCACATTGCAGGCTGAGGAGAGACACCGGAGGTTATAGACGTCACAGTGAGACGTCCCACGTGAGGACAGATGTGCTGGCTCACACTCACCTGCGCCCTGTTTCAGAAGGTCTGCGGCTGTACTCATGTTACTGACTGGCTGAACCTCCAGAACTTCACCTATCGGGTCTGAGAGTGACACACAATCCTTCATAGACTCAAACACGGGCAGTTGCTTCAATACATTCAGTTCTTTTGATGAATCGGTCCAAAAAAAATCGGTTTGAATTAGGGCTGTCAAACGATTAATCGCGATTAATCGCATCCAAAATAAAAGTTTGTGTTTACATAATATAATGTGGGTGCACTGTGTATAATTATTTTATATATATATAAATACACACACATGCATGTATATTTAAGAAAAAAATTATTTATATATAAAATATTTATATATAACATAAATTGTATATAAATCTATATACATTAAAATATTTCTTAAATATATAAAAGCGTGTGTGTGTGTGTATTAATATATATAAAATAATTATACACAGTGCACCCACATATATTTTATAAACACAAACTTTTATTTTGGATGCGATTAATCGCGATTAATCGTTTGACAGCCCTAGTTTGAATCAGTCTGACCAATTTGTCAGATCAGTTATTTATTTAGCTAAAAGTCCATCACAAACAAGTTACGTTTGTTTTAATAAATGAAGGTAGCGTTTTTTTTTTATTTTGTGGTTCGGGTCTATAGCACAGAATGTTGTGGGAAACACCGAAAGACATTTGTTTCATGCATTACAACTCTCCACAAACTCTAACTTCACATGTTGTAGCTGTGCTTTCATCATAGTGATATCTCAGCGTGGCGTGTTGATGTGCGCTGAAGTGTTTACCTTTCTCTGGGATGCGGAGGGCACAGGGCAGAGAGATAGGTGTAATGGAATGCTGATACACCAGTGCTGAAAGACTCCCTACCGATGACAAAACACACACAGAGCACCTCAATACTTCAACATTGTTTACCTTAAAAACTGATGTGCCAGATTGCAAAAGCACCGAAACAAAGCCAGACAGCAACTAATCGCAGGCATAAAGGAACATCCTAGCTTTGGTAATACAAAGATGTGAGCTTTATCTCAACTTCTAAACCTCACGACTGTACGTTCACTCTTTATGAAGCAGCGTTATTAACTATTTGGTGAATTCAGTGTTCCGCTAAAGTACATGACAGAGATATCATGGAGATTTAACAGTATTGCTGTCTGAATACCTTGCATGCATGGAGCGAACTGATCCTGCACTCAGATATCGCAGGAAAGTCATTTTCACACTAACCTGAGCTCAACTTTAACTTTATTCAGCCTAGCTGTTCTATTAACTCCACATTTGTACTTAAATCGGCCTTCAAGATCAGGTCTGACATTTCTGCCGAAAATGAAGAAATGAATCATACAGTTTTCAAAATGAATGATGACAGAATTATCATTTCTGGGTGAACTATCCCTTTAAGGGAGTAGTTCACATCCAAGATGTCCATGTCTTTCTATCTTCATTGAAAAGAAATTAAGGTTTTTGATGAAAACATTCCAGGATTTTTCTCCATATAATGGACTTCAGTGGGAACCAAACGGTTCAAGGTCCAAAAGACAGTTTCAGTGCAAACTGCAAACTGTTCAAAGGGCTTTAAACGATTCCAGACGATGAATAAGGGTCTTATCGAGCGAAACGATCGCTCATTTAATAAATAAATAACAAAGTGTAAGTTTCATAAGCTCAAATGGTCGCCTTGCTCTGTTCTGTGATGCGCGTTCGTGACTCTCTGGTTTGAAATCGTTCATCAAAATGAACGAATCTTTTTCCGAGTCATTTGGTCATTTCGTTTGCAGTGAAACTGTCTTTTGGACCCCATTGAAGTACATTTTATGGAGAAAAATCCAGGAATGTTTTCATCAAAAACCTTAATTTCTTTTCGACTGAAGAAAGAAAGACATGGACATCTTGGAAGACATGGGGTGAGTAAATTATCAGCAAAATTTTTTTGAAGAGTGAACTACTCCTTTAAGCTCTGATTTAAACCAGGACTAAGCGAATGAGAGGATTCTTGAACTGCTCACCAAAGTAGGGCTCGTTCTGACAACCCTTGATCTTCACTCCCCGAGGCCCTGTCTCAATCAGGAAGTGTCGAACCAGCTGTTCCAGAGGGTCTCCTCCTGCTAACAGACAGGACAGTGCATCTTCAATGATTCTAATATTGGTTGTATAACAAAATATATCAACTTTTCAAAATATTGCATCAATGGATATTTAAATCCACATTGATCACTGTTTAAAGGTGGAAGTCATGCAAAGCATTCCCGAAGCAGTTCCCAATGCTGTCTCAGTTAAATATTTAGTTGAAGACTACCAAAATAAACAGTGCACAGTGTTCTCGTTTGCGCTTGGTCTGTTGTTAATTATTGCAATGAAGCATAAGTCAATCAAATCGATCATTCCCTCTGTCTGTATGGCTTATAAACATTCAAACTGCAGTTAAACGTTTTTCAAAGCTTTCAGAAAAAAAGGCTTCGTCAAGATAATTCAATTCAAAGTTTGCCTTCTACTTTTCTATTTACAAATGAATTCTACATCGAATTGCACTCCATTCAATTTATTTGGCATTCTCAGCTCAATTCACACAACCCTATCAAGCAAGGCGGGACGATCAGTTTGGTTTTTGAAGAGAATCATCATTTTAGTAATTCCGTTTGGTGACGGTGATGCTGCAGAAATGACACACTTCAGCTTCAGCTCTGAATCACTGAGATGTTTAGCTCTGCTAGAGTACTTCAGGTGCAGTCGTGTGTTTCCTGTGCAGACGGAGAGCTTTGGGAGCAACACTGAAGCAAGAAAAATGTTTGTGCGAGGAAATGCCTGCAGATGTGGCGTACCTTTGCTGCTATGGTTATTGACGTTGGGGGGTGGGCTGGCAACTTTCAGGGCCAGACCGTAGGCCCCCTGGAAAGAGTTACTGTCTCGGATGAGGAAGGCCCCTGGCTCTCTTTCCTTCAGTGCTGCTATAGCTGTTGAACAGAGACAGGATTATTTAATGAGGCATCGCTATTTAAAAAAAGGATCCAAGCATATGGAACAACAATCTGCAATTTGCTGCATATGTAAAAACACTACAGCCCAACAGTAAACATCTCTGTTAGTATAGCTCATGGTTAGGGTTATGAAAAGTGCAGCAAACAGCAGCAATCCCAAGGTTGTTTTCTCCATTCTGTCACCTGATGGAATTTTGGTTCCTTGCCATTGTTGCCTTGGCTGTTGGCTTGCTTAGTTGGGGACATTTAACATTCAACAATATTAGTGATCTGCCTTGGTGGACGATGACGCAATTATCACTGTGAAGCTGCTTTGATACAATCTGTATTGTAAAAAGCGCTATATAAATTGACTAATTCTGGGTATTGTTACACATTTACTGACACATTTCATATTTTTTTTAATAATGTCCATTTTGCTTACATATTAAAGAAATTCTTCCTCAGTTATTGCGATAAATTACACAGGGGACCTTCTAATTAGCTACATTAAGAAAATAATCATTTGAAAAAATAACATCAGGGCCTAAATAATACAATTGTATTACTATTTATTAATATATATAAATATACATATTTTATATCTATTTTTTTAAATATAGATGCATGTGTGTGTATTTAGATATATACAAAATAATTATACACAGTGCACCCACATATATTATGTAAACACAAACTTTTGGATGCAATTAATCACGATTAATCGTTTGACAGCCCTACTATTTATTTAACAGATGAGTTCATGAGTCTTTTTGACTGATTCATTCAAAGGACTAGCTCGAAAGAGTCAATTTGTTCATGAATCGTGAATTCTCTTTAAAAAAACAGTTAATAAGAGTAATTTATAAGTGAGTTAGATAATGTTGGCTTGTACTCACTAAAATTAACCATTTCATAAGCCCATAAGGGCAACTCAAACTAAAGATATATGCCATTATTTTCCACTAAACTTCCCTTTAACTCTATGAATCCAGATCCACGTTTTTACCCAGCCCTAATCAGCAACTGATTAAGAAGATACCTCTAAACTGCATATGCTGTAACATATTGTTAAATATTCAAAGTGGTTGTCTCACCTTGCTCTCTGGAGATGCCAGGTTTATACCAAAACCGAGAGCTGTCCTGCACAAACTTTACACTGACACGGCTGCCCATCTCATCCTCCACACCAACTTCTCCCTGACCAGCATTCATGGTCAGCTCTCCTACTGAAGGTGAGAATGTAACGTGGTGCTGCCCAGAGGCGTGATGACTCATGGACCCCCTCAGCGTTCCGGGCCTCCCATTGGGTGAGCCTGGCTGCCCGGATGGGCGGCGTTTCTCAGGGAGAGGAGGCTGTGGGACAGAGGAGGCTGGGCACCCTGAGTAGGAGCCAAGTGGAGGAGATGGGGTGCAACAAGCTGGAGAGACGGGGAAGGTAGGAGTGGAGTTGAGGCTGCCATCCATAGGAAGGGAGGTTTCAGAACCCAACATCAGCTTCCTGCCCAGTGTGGCAAATCCAGGCACTGGAGGTTCAGGGGAGGAAGAACTCTCGTGGTCACAAGGGAGTGGATGAGGGGACGCAGGGGCAGAAGAAGGAGGTTTAGGGACATCTGGTTCTGGAGATGATGATACTCCATTGCTATGCAAGTGAGCTGGGATGGACTCGGTTGGGATGGGAGAGGAGGGACGTGGTGAACATGCTGGTTTAAAAGTCTCAGTTGATTGTGTCACCATTTCCCCCGTGGGTAGCACTGTTGCACCAGTAGGCGAGCAGTTTGTCTGGTGTTGGGTGGATTCTGATGGGGATGTAAAGGGGACTGGGTTTTCTGCTGAGATTTGTGGGGTTGGAGGTGTCGTAGGTGGGGAATGGGTGGAGGGTTGTTGGGTTGAAGTGGTGGGTGTGGCAGGAAAAGGGTGTATCTCAGCAATCTCTTGATTGGAAGACCGTAGAGTTTGACGAGACCCTGGACTGACACTGTTGCACTGTAGGGCAGGTGGGTGCGGCCTGTTGTGGGAGTGGGCCAAACTGCTTTCACTGTTGACCTCTCTTGAGTCACACTCACGGACACTCAGGATAGGACTAAAAAAGGAAGAGGAAATGAATACAGTATTAAAGTCAGAAGATAACTGCAATGGTAGACCAAAGTTCCAACCCTGCTCCAACAGAAGAGCTTGTTACCTCTCCTGCGTTTGCAAAGGGCTGCTTGTGTGGACTGGTGTTGGAGATCCTGAAATATCAGAGGGTGTTGAACATGGATCATGTGGATCTCGATGTGTCCGCCGCAGGGAACCATGGGTAATGTGACTACGCCAGCCTATGCTATCTGCGCCAGGACAATCTGATAGAGATGGCATACATACAGACCGATAAACAAATTTTATCATGCAAAGATGAAATTGCATGCAGAGGAAGGTTATACACAGTCATTTTTCACCTGCATTTGTGTTAGAGGGGTACTGCTGAGGATGGGGGTCCATTTGGCTCTCTGTAGGTCCGCTGGCATGGTGCACTGGACCAGGGCAGGAGGCGGAGGGAGGTGGAAGAGGAGACGTGGACTCAGACTGGTAACCCGAGGCATATCCACGGCTCTCTGAGGGTGACGGCTGGTAAGGGGAGCAGGGGCACGCCTGGTGCGGTGTCTGGTACCCACTGGAGCTGCTGCTGTATTTGAGATCCAGATGGGAATGAGAGTGCGAACGAGTGGGTTCGGGGTATGCGGGATGGCCTGCAGGGAGGGGATCGAAGTTAAATGCTGGTAATTCATGACCGTGAGGTCCGTATGGGGATACTGTGGCCCTTCTGTGCCAGTATTCTGCCTCTCGCTCTCTCTCCCACTGTAGTTCTGCTTCTCGGTCTCTGTCCCAGTGGAGAGTCATTTCTCGCCCCCTCCTTAGACCTGCTTCCCGATCCCATATATCCGTCCCTCTTTGCATATCGGCCTCTCTGCCCCGTCTTAACCCTGTGTCTCGGAGAAGCTCTGCCTCCCTCTCCCAGTGTATTGCCTCCTCTCTGTCTAAACGGAGAGTGTGGAAATCTTCTCGTCGTAGACAGCAGTCCCGACAAGGGCAGACAGGCGTCACTATGCCATCTACCATCATGACATCGTGATAGGGGCCGTTAGGTTTGGGGTGATGTGGATGGTTGTGGTGATGATGGGGGTATGGAATGTACTCATCCGCCCTGCAGACCAGTCGGGGAGACAGACTATGAGGATGGGTGCTGATCTCCTGGGACGGATATGGACACAGGTGGCGTGATGGTCCCTCTGTGCAAGTGCGATGAAGGTAGTGCTGTGGACCTTGTTGGCGGTCCCAGAGCAGGTCGGGAGGTGGCAGGGTTTGGTGAGGATGGGCACTGTGGTGTTGGCAAAGCCCTATGACAGATGGCATACCTGAAGGAGGAGCCCCTGTTTGTCCATTAGTGGTGGTGGGACGATCAAGGCAATAACCATTTGATAAGTGATGGAGTCCATCGCATCCAGGCTCGGCACAGCGCTGGGATCGGTAGCCCACCCGGCATGAGCATGAACGACCTAACCTCAGTGACCCAGTCCTCTCAGGAGGCAAAGAATCACCGTCATCCAAAATGGCTGTCTCTCGGTCACGATCCCTCCCTCCATCGCCTTCAATCCCACCCAGTAGGCGCTCAAGATCCTCCCTCTCTTGCTGAGTAGGCGGGGCCTGTCGAGTTGCTTCATCGAGCCGGTCAGGTGGGACAGATGAGTGTCCAGAATCAGTGCTGACAGACAGAAGCTGACTTGGCCTTTCCTCGGAGCTCCTTGCAGGGCTCCCATTGGTGGACAGCAGGGAGGTGGAGCCTGCGGCACGGCGCTTTTTAACCTGTGCGTACAGGCTGCCATCTACAGGTCCACGTGTGTGTGCAATATCTGAAGGGATTTATGAAAGAACACTTTTATATTTCCCTGTAGCCAACTTTTATTATTAATCAAGGTTTATTGCAGCAAAATATCATTTAGTTTCATGCCTTCATTTCCCTCCTCTCTCTCAATTTAAGAATTAAACAGGCTGTTTTTGCAACAGTTTTCATACTCGTACTCTACTATTTAAGTTTGAGGTTTGGAATATTTTTTGTTTTTGTTTTTAATGTTCACCGAGGCTTGATTTATTTATTCAAAATACAGTAAAAAAAACATTACTATTGTGAAACAGGATTACAATTTAAAATAACTGTTTTCTATTGAAATATATTTTAAAATGTAATTTATGACTGTGATGGCAAAACTGAATTTTCACGTCACATGATCCTTCAGGTATCATTCTAATATACTGATGACACTCGACTTTTTTAGTGAGTAATGTTGCTGTTTGAGCATAAAAAAGGTCTGCAAAGTTACAAAGCTCAAATTTACCCTGAAGGCAGTTATCCTCTATATCAGTAAGCTCTGTTTCTGAACTTCCTGAACGCATCGATAGTAGTCTTCGGTTTTCTTCTGGGAATGACACGTCACAAGAATTCCCACCCAAAGCTTACACAAAATTAAAAAAGTTGTGCTTGCGAAGGTGGTTTGGGTTGATGTTTGGGTCCAACCCTGCTAAAAACTCCTTTGCTTGTAGCTTTCTAGTAATCCTGAAGACATTGATAAGCTTACAGGTGTGTTTAATTAAGGTTGGAGGTATAATTTGCAGGACAGTGGCACTCCAAGCCCCAAGTTGCCCATCCCTGATGTAAATGTAGTCTAGTAGACCCCATAAACAAAATGATGAACGTGTAATATAAGAACCCTTAGCATAAAAACCCTTTAAAATGACATGTTACATATAATATTGCAACATTACATTTGTTTCCCAATTTGTCAATAAATAGATTAAACAGAGACAATTTGATATTATTCATTTGAAAGTATTAAGGTGAAAACTCAAAATGTAGCATGTTACACATTACTTTCAAAATTGTATGCTTGTAAACACTTGTATGCTTTTGCCCTGATGCTGGTTATGATTGGCTAACTAATAATTAAAAACACCTCTGCATGTGTAAACATGACCAGTTGTGATGTCAAAACCATGACATTTTTTGACCTATTACCTATTTTTTAAGCTTAGTTTCAAATATTGCTCCGGCTAAATGTAAGAGTACTGTATGTCTACATAGTATCAACCTCTTTTTTCTAAAGAAAAATGGGAAAGTCCTATTTAATATCTCCAATATGTTCACTCTGAAGGGCTGAATAAACACCAGTGCAAAGTTGTAAGAATGAATAGTTGTACCCTCTAGGCTGTCCTGATATCTCTGATTAAAGTTCTCATATGAGTCCCAGCGCACCACCGGATCATTCGTGTTATAGTCCACGCTGACAGCTGGATCATTCCTCTGGGTCACTCTCCCTGAATCAGACACGCACACACACATCTGCATTAAGACCACATGACATAGTGTTTCAATTGGAAATAATGTGCGTCAGCTCAAAAAATAAAATTGTTTGTCAAACAATTTCATGGTCCCTTAAATGGCAAGGTTTAATTGTTTTAAGTTACCTTTGATTTTCTCAGGCCCAGATGAAAATACAAACTCCACTGTGGCATCAGAGGGAAATTTGTCATCTACAGGAAACATTGGAAATTGAGAGTGTTCATCATGAGGAAGACAGAAGACGCTTTCCAGCTAATAACATTTGTCATTAATAATGGGATTTGTAAGTTCATATTAGTACTGTATATAATATCCTCTCCATACTAAGCACTACATTAATGTTTTTCATTATAACAACGATTAATATCCAGGAATTTTCCCAGAGTTTTACGAGCAATTGAAGTTGCCTCCCATGCTCGTATGTAAAACCCATAGAGAATCTATTATCACGTGAAAATCTGTATCTCATCTCAATTACACAGCTGTGGTGCGCAGGTGTTACCCAATGGGAATGAGGGCGATAATTTACAGCACAGCTAAAAGAACACAGACCACCGTAATAAAAAAAAAGCACATCATAAAAAAACCAAGCTCAGCTGATATCCCAAGGCCATTTCAGCTCAAGGCGGTCAGAGTTGGACAGACGTCTCAGGTTTTATCGTGATAATATATGAGTTTGGCATCTGACTCTTGGCTGGTCCCACTAATAAGAACGTACCTGAACAAGCTTCATCCAGTTCGCCTTTCCCGAACCAGAGCTGAGCTCCATGAATGGTGCATGTGTGAAACTGCAGTCGAAACACAGAATCCCTCTCAGCAGACTGAACCCGTCTGTGATAACACTTCACCTACAGGACAGACAGGTAGAGAGACCATAAAAGTGACAGAGAGCAAGAGAGGGAGATTAAAGTAATGGAAATGTCTACGGTTTGACAGTTGTAATACATCAGGGTCAGATAAAAACAGACGCACATACCATGATGTCTCCTTTCAGCAGCAGTGCAGGCTCAATAGTAACAATCAGCCGTCTGCTCCCAGAGCCCTGCAGATCACTACACAACACATACATACTCTTTAAACTAGATTTACATTTCCTGAAGAAGATGTGAAGGGTTAAAAACTATCCTTCATGATTTTAGGGTGTTGCCATGGTGTTGCTATGCAGATGCATCAAAGGTGTTTGTGGGCGGTTGTACTTCATGTTACTATAGTTCATTCTGGGAGGTTGCTAGGATGTTGTTAGGTTGCTGCTAGGGTAGTCTGGGTGGTTGCTAGGGTGTTGCTATAACATACTGGATGATTGACAAGGTTTTAGAATAGCATTCTAGATGGTAGATCCGTCCTTCGGATGAGACGTTAAACTGAGGTCCTGACTCTTTGTGGCCATTAAAACTCCCATGGCACTTCTTGTAAAAGAGTAGGGGTGTTACTCCGGTGCCCTGGCCACATTCCACCCTTGCCAATCATGCCACACTGGTGGTGGTTGAGGAGAGACCCATGATATGATTGTAAAGTGCTTTGAGTGTACAGTAGTACATATGAAAGCGTGATGTAAATGCCTCATATTCATTCATTCATGGTTGCTAGGATGTTCTGGGAGGTTCCTATGTGGTTACTTACTGGCTAAAGTAAAAAGTCAACCCACAAAGTATTAAAGGGATACTCATTTTACCACTCCCCCAGAGTTAAACAGTTGGGTTTTTACCATTTTCGAATGTATTCAGCCGATTTTCTGATATTTAGAAGGATATCAGTAATCAGACTGTTTCTGGTCTCGTTGACTTCCATAGTATATATTTTGTCCTACTATGGAAGTCAATGAGACCAGAAAATGTCTGGTTACTGATATTCTTCTAAATATCAGAAAATCGGCTGAATGGATTTGAAAACGGTAAAACTCAACTGTTTAACTCTGGGGGAGTTTTTTTTTCCAAAAAAAAAAAAAGTGGAGTATCCCTTTAACACCCTTAACATCATATGTGATTTTAGGGTGTTTTCATAATGTTGCTAGGCAGTTGCTAAGGTCTGTAAAGTTATTTTAATTTGTTTTCATGCAGTGCTAGTGTGTTGAGTGTGTTTGCTAAGGATTTGCAAGGGCATTCTGTTTGGTTGCTTGGGAGTTCTGAGATGTTGTTAGGGAATTCTGGGTAGTTGCTGCTAGTATGGTAAATTGTTGAAATTGTTTTCATACAGTTGATAAGGTGATACTAGGGCATTGTGGGTGGTTGCTATGGTTTTCTGGGTGGTTGTTAGGTTGTTCTGGGAGGTTGCTAAGGTGTCGTTGGGGTATACTGGATGGTGGCTGTTGCTATGGCTTTCTGGGTGGTTGGTATGGTGATCTGGAATGGGTGGTTGTTAGATGGCTGCCTGTATAGGGTGCTGCCAGAGTGTTGCTATGCAGTTGCTAAGGTGTTCTGAGTGGCTTTAATGGTTTAAAGCAGTTGATAAGGTGTTGCTAGGGCATTGTGGGTGGTTGATAGGGTGTTAGGTTGTTGCCAAGGCATTGTTTGAATTTTTTCCCCACCAGGTGAAAACCTTAAGTGTGATGATTGCCTAAAAAAGTTGCAGAAAACCTTTTTATAAGAAACTACAAATGGTGAGGCATCATTCTACGTGCTAAATTGTAATACTTAGGATTAATGAACAAGCCCCTAAGTAATAAGCAGCAGTAATTGCAATTTTTGTCTAAGCAAACACCCCTAATCATGCTTTAAACTATGTGAACGTCTCCAATAGATCCGCACTCACTATATGCCAGAAGTGTAGACGAGCTGCATGGACTGATAGATCTTCAGGAAAGGAAAGAAACCTGTCAAGAGAGTGAGGAAAAAGCGAGATATGAAGGAGGATTTGGCAAACTCCCTCTGAGTGTCTCTCCTCCACTGCGAAAGATTAAAACAAACTTGAAATGTGTGTGTGAATGTGAAGGAGGATTCGCTTAACAAATGAATACAGACTCACAGACACATATGACCTCATCGAGGGCTTATATATGAATATCAGGAAAACATTCACTCACCTCCATCTTCCTGGAAGTTAGGGATGGTAGGAATGAGGACCTGATGGAGGAAGAGAGGACTGCTGTTCATTTTGATGGCCCCTGAGAGCAGCCCTCCAAAGTAATAGATATACCTGCAGAGAGAAACATCAATGTTAACATTGAAAAAACAAGTATGTGAATAGCAATAGTCAATAAAGAATCAACAAAGATTAAAAATCCTGAACGACGCACCTGTTCTGAGAGGGTTGGAGAGAGGACGACACTTTATCTTCACAAAACTTCCTCATTGCCAATGTGCTGAGGGCCTGATCTGCCCTGTGTGCATAAACGCAGTTGAAGACATTAGAGAAAAAGCACACCAAAGACACATGCTGGTTTTAAAGACAACAACAACAACAACAAAAAATTATTATTTAAAATTTAAGCTGCCTTTAATTAAGTTCGATTATTTTAATACATAACAAATAAATTAATAGCATTATTTTATTGGAAGTTTGCTCAGGCCCCCTAGAGGGCACCAGTCCCCTGGTTAAGAACCACGGATGAACTTACCCTGCGGATATCTTGCTGTAATGCATGTAGGCAGCAATGATAACACCTGTCTTTCCTTTGTTGCCCTGAAAAACAATCAATATTAATCAATACAACTGCTAAAGATAAGGATTTAAGGCCCTTGCACACTGAGTTCGAAATTCGCGTCCGAAATTTTCGCACGTTAAAAAATAAATACGACCTCATGCGATGTCAATCACGCTTGCACACTGCCTCCGAAACTTTCGTCCGTCATAAAAAAATTCGGTGTTTTTCGTACCAGTAGCAAGCAGTTTGAATGGTGTTTTGACAATTCAGAGCCACCGAATCACGAATACGAAAAAACGAATGCGAAAAATTCGGACTCACTCTGTGTGCAAGGGCCTTTACACTTACAATCTGTTCCAAATAAAGAAGGCAAGCAGAGAATCAGGTTTTAAACTCTTGCACAGTCGGGTATAAAAGTATGAGACCACTTTTGAAAAGCCAAACAATTTGAATTAGTTTTAAAAATTGAACATGAATTTCAAAAATGTACAAAATTGTATCAATGTATCAATGCTTTCTCATCTCACACAAACTAAAAGCTTGTCAAACCAGACATCCTCTGAGGTCTGGCATCATTTTATCATCTGTGGCGACTCTCTGTTGGGTGGTCCTTAAGGGTCATGTCAACACCCTTTAGCACTCTGTCAGTGTCTGTGACCCTGACATGAACTGTCCAATGACTACTATGACCTCTGACCTTACAGTGCAGAACGACCACATGATGGGGGTTGGAGTTCAGCCAGTTCTCCATTGCTTTGCACATGGCACAGATCTTATCCAGTGGAGGAGCGTGCATATCTGGCCAGCCGAAGTCATGAACCTGAGGGAGGGGGAGAGAGAGAAAGAATGGCTTTTTAATCTTGGCTGGTGTAATCGCCTAATCGGGTCTTTAAAAGATCAACCGCAAAGCAACTAGTGATAGAAACACATAAAATTATAAAAACTGAGCCTTACCTTTGGGTTTAATCGGGTGATGTCATGCCTTCGCTCAGACAGATTGAATAACTGTTGGATAAAAATGGACCGGAACAATGAAAATGCCTTTAATGCAAGTTTCCTTCAGATGCAGACATACAATAAATACACACTGAGTGGCGTACCAGAAACTTGTCCTGGTGTTTGGACTTGAGCATGGCTGCCACCTCCCTGAGGTTGAGGCGATACCGCTGTTCTTCCAGCAGAGGAGGAAAAAACACAGAGATGATCCTCTCCGTGATGTACGTGAGGTCGAAATCATAATGCCTCTCCATCACTCTGTCCATCACCCGATCCACACTGAAGCTCCTGAGAGAGGGAAGGGAAAATCTGATCACGCCAGCTTAAAGATCCTGTGAAATGACTTGAAAAGCTAACAGACATGAACTAAAAGCCACAAAACGTCAAAACTTGTTGCTGGTCCAAGATGATCTACTAATACCTCTCGGATTGAGCAAGATGGTCTACCAAGAGTAAACACTGTCTACCAGCTTTCAGCCCAAACAATTAACCATCTAGACTAGTTTGGACAGCTAGAAACAAAAACTATCAGAAGGGATGGCTGGGAAATTAAAAAAAGGATGCATGATTATATGAAATGATATGATACAATAGATAAAATATGATATATAATGAGATATGATATATGATATGATGCCTGTCTGTCCGTCCGTCTATCAATCTTTCCACCATCCTTCTGTCTGTCTGTCCATCCATCGTCTATCTGTCCACCCATCCATCCATCCATCATCTATCTGTTCACCCATCAATCCATACATCCATCATCTATCTGTCCATCCATCCATCCTCTATCTGTCCATCCATCCATCATCTATCTGTCCATCCATCCATCTTCTATCTGTCCATCCATCCACCTCTATCTGTCCATCCATCCATCCTCTATCTGTCCATCCATCCAGCATCTATCTATCCATCCATCATCTATCCATCCATCCATCATCTATCTGTCCATCCATCCATCATCTGTCTATTCATCCATCATCTATCTGTCCATCCATCCATCATCTATCTGTCCATCCATCCATCATCTATCTGTCCATCCATCATCTATCCATCCATCATCTATCCATCCATCATCTATCTGTCCATCCATCCATCATCTGTCTATCCATCCATCATCTATCTATCCATCCATTAATTATCTATCTGTCCACCCATCTATCCATCATCTATCTGTCCATCCATCCATCCATCATCTATTTGTCCATCAATCCATCACCTATTTGTCCATTGATCCTTCATCTATCTATTCATCCATCATCTATCTGTCCACCCATCATCTATCTGTCCATCCATCCATCACCTATCTGTCCACCCATCTATCCATCATCTATCTGTCCATCCATCCATCCATCATCTATTTGTCCATCAATCCATCATCTATCTGTTCATCCATCATCTATCTATCTGTCCGTCCATCCATCCATCCATCCATCCATCCATCCATCCATCCATCCATCATCTATCTGTCCATCCATCCATCACCTATTTGTCCATTGATCCTTCATCTATCTATTCATCCATCATCTATCTGTCCACCCATCTATCTGTCCATCCATCCATCCTCTATCTGTCCATCCATCCATCATCTATCTATCCATCCATCCATCATCTATCTGTCCATCCATCCATCCATCCATCATCTATCTGTCCGTCCATCCATCATCTATTTGTCCATCCATCATCTATCTGTCCATCCATCATCTATCTATCCATCCATCCATCATCTATCTGTTCATCCATCCATCCATCCATCCATCATCTATCTGTCCGTCCATCCATCCATCCATCATCTATTTGTCCATCTATCCATCATCTATCTGTCCGTCCATCCATCCATCCATCATCTATTTGTCCATCAATCCATCATCTATCTGTCCATCCATCATCTATCTGTCCATCCATCCATCCATCCATCCATCCATCCATCATCTATCTGTACATCCATCCATCACCTATTTGTCCATCGATCCTTCATCTATCTATTCATCCATCATCTATCTGTCCACCCATCATCTATTTGTCCATCCATCATCCATCCATCATCCATCTGTCCATTCATCCATCCATCCATCATCTATCTGTCCACCCATCATCTATTTGTACATCCATCCATCATCTATCTGTTCATCCTTCCATCCATCATCTATCTGTCCATCCATCACTCATCCATCCATCCATCCATCCATCCATCCATCCAAACCGCTGAAATCATCATCAAGAATGTTGTGAAGTCCAGTGAATGTTATTTTATTGGATAACTGGAGTTTGCTCTGAGAGTTGTGTTTGATTGGCCACAGCTGAGCTGTCTAACCACGCACCCTGACACACATTAGCTCTTTGCTCCTCACCACACTGTGGCGGCCAAAAGAAATTTTTTTTTTTTTTTTACATTAAATCCGAAGGGAATAACACCCTGCTGAGATGAGGTAACTTATCTGAGATAAGTAGAGATTAGCAGAGAAAATAAAGTCTCAGAACTTAAGCATTCTCCACCGATCATGCAGCGATCAATGAACTTCATGGTTTGAGATTTAATGCTTTAAAAGCTTTGATTCTTTTCAGCCAAACATACCTCGGGAGAGTGTTTCTCTGTTTACTGTAGGTCAGAGACTTGGTCGAACCCTGGAAAAAGGACAAAATATGATCACATCCTTGCATTTGGTAACAAAAAATTTTAACTGTTTTGTCTAGGTGACTGTGCCAACTCTTGGTACAAAAGATTGTATTTTCTGTTTATTTAAACCATATTTTTTTCTAAATATCTTTTCTACTTTTAAGGATATCCATATGTGCGATATGTAAACAGGCAAATGCCACTAAGAACTGAAAGCACTGTCAGAGGCACAACAGCAAAAGAAAATGAAGAAGAGGATCACTTATTCTTGAGACATGGAGTCTAATGCAGACAATTACTGTAAATATTGACTGACGTCCCAGCAAAAAAAAAAATATATATATATATATATATATATATATATATATTGGTGACATTTCTGATTATCATCTTGATTTAGATCTTAAATGGTCAATTTCTGATCTAGAGGAAGAGACATGTGTTGGCTGTGAGAGAGAAAATGAAAAAATAATGAAAAAGTTCTTACCAGATGCTGAATGTGTCTAGAGGAGGACGTTCCCCTTCGCTGCATCAGATGAGAACACAGATATATGAACAGAGGAACAACACAAAAATGTACCATATCTTTCATTCATTACTTCCAGAAGCATATCTGAACCAGGAGTGCAACTGGTGACCCCTCAAAAAAGTACAGGACACCCTTGATTACATCAATATACTTAACTAAATGAAAAGAATAAAACAAACTAACAACCTAAATATTTACACACTAATGAAAGTTAAAGTTACCCTGTGTTTTAGGACATCAAACACACATATTGTCTCAGCATTTCTTAGTCCCATCATAGGCACTATGTTTGAAAATGCTGGTCTCAAAAGGTTTTGAGATACCACCAAAGTCATAAGACACTTTAATTCAGCTAATAAACTACAATTCAAAGTTAGGGTCAGTAAGATGCTTGTTAAAGAAATTCATACTTTTAATTAAGCAACAAGGATGCATTCAATTTATCAAAAGTGACAGAAAAGTCATATATAATGTTGCAAAAGTTGTCTGTTTCATATAAATGCTGTTCGTTTGAACTTTCTATTAATCAAAAAATACTGAAAGAATCATCTATTTCCACAAAAATATTAAGCAACACAAGTGTTTTCAACATTGATAATCAGCATATTAGAATTATTTCTGAAGGATCATGTGACAGGAATAACTTACATGTAAAAATATTTTTAAAAAGAAAAGTTATTTCATATTGTGATAATAATTTTAGTGTATTTTTGATCAAACCAATTCAGCCTTGGTGAGCATAAGAGACTCTTACATGCTTGTAAAACAAAGGATAACAGAAAAGTCATTTTTACTTCTAGCAAGTGATGAACAAGGAAGTAAATAATGAGTGAGCCAGTGAGTGGTATAAATGGAAGAAAAAAAGAACAAGGATGATAAATGATGAGATAAAAGGAAGGAAACAAAGACAAAACGAAAGAAAGTCTTACCAGTTCGGAGGGCTGCGCTGGGATGCAGGCTGTGTTGATCTGAAACAGAGAAAAGCAACATGACTCAAACCCATCGCCTCCACCGTCCAACACAGATACATTCACTCATAACCCCGTCGCCTTTCCCCGCTCCATCCGTTTGCCCTGAGACGAGGGGAAGGGAGTGGTGAAGAGGGATCTGTTGAGATGGGGAGAAGGAAATGCTTCCCCAAAGCAACAGATAAGCAAACTATCTGCTGATAACACTGAGACTGGAGAAAAAACTGAGGGATTGTGGGTGATGGGCAGTAACCAAACACATTAGTGTGCACATTCCTCTCGGATAATCTCGCACAAAACAACAGGACACAACAACATAAATTGTGGCACACTATGTACATGACAAGTCTCTTACACACCATACCAGACACAAACTATGTTGACATGTCTACATGTTTTGGCTTTGTGGGGTAAAGAGCGCGGAGGCATCATTAGTGTGGCAGGCGGGAAAACGTGTGTGTGTGCTGACATTCACGCTTATGTAACATAAAGCGCTCCCCCTCCCCGCACATCCGATCCCCTGCCCAATCCTGCTCTGTTTGTTTGGCCACAGGAAAAGGGCTGAGGCATGGAGAAGTCACTCTGAAGTGCACAGACACTACACTAGGCCTTGACCTACGACTGTGTGTGTGTGTGTGTGTGAGTCTAGGGAGTGAGATAAAGAGTTATTAAAAGATTGTATGTTTTTGTTCAACAAGACAATGAAACATAACTTATGAGGCACTGGAGGATGGAGGGACTTGTTCGTTTGGGTGTTTGTGTCTCCGAAAATACATGCTGGAGATGCGTCTGTGTTTCCTTAAAGGAGCAGTTCACTTTTAAAAAAAACTTTTGCTGATAATTTACTCACCCCCATGTCATCCAAGATGTCCATGTCTTTCTTTCTTCAGTTGAAAAGAAATTAAGGTTTTTGATGAAAACATTCCAGGATTTTCTTTATATAATGGACTTCATTGGGAACCAAACGGTTCAAGGTTCAAAAGAGAGTTTCAGTGCAGCTTCAAAGGGCTTGAAACGACACCAGACGATGAATATGGGTCTTATCTAGGACCAATTCGAGTCATGAATTGGTTTGAACGAGTTTGAACAGGAGAGTCACGAGCGCTAGTTCACAGAACAGAGCAAGGCGAACATTTGTGCTTATAAAAATTAAACTTTTTTATTTATCTTTGAAATGAGCGTCTAGTGTCGTTTAAAGCCCTTTGAAGCTGCACTGAAACTCTCATTTGGACCTTGAACCGTTTGGTTCCCAATGAAGTCCATTATATGGAGAAAATCGTGGAATGTTTTCATCAAAAACCTTAATTTATTTTTCGACTGAAGAAAGAAAGACATGGACATCTTGGATGACATGGGGGTGAGTAAATTATCAGCAATTTTTTTTTTTTTTTTTTTAAAGTGAACTACTCCTTTAAAACCAAATCAAATCAAAATGGGAGTTTTGTGGCTGTTTGGACTGGAGTCATACATATGCTAGCATTGCCCAAAAGTTATCCGATTTAAAATTGACCAAAATTGGACCAAAAATACTGATGACTCATCCTGGACTTGTGGGCGTGTCCTTAATTGTATCCAATCAAACACTCTCTTGATTAGATGTACACAGCGAGTGATTAGTAGTGTGATGCTCTTCACTACTCATATTTACAGCTTTTTCATTATGAATTGAACACCTGGATTACCAAAATATGTAGCATACAATACACAATCAGTGTAAGTGACACTAATTTTACTGTAACTTAACCTTCGATTTCCAGTTAGATGAATAGATCCAATTTTCTGCTTCTTAGCTTACAGTATTACTCGATCAGACTGCCAAAATATAATTTTACACAATTTGATTAAAAAAATATTTTTATTTCAGGATGATAACCAGACATCACTGAACTACACAAGCAATGATGAGGTCATGTGATAAGTACACTAGTCTTCAAAAGTTTAGGGTGTGTAAAATTTTCTTTTTTTTTAATTTGAAATAGGTTTCTTAATGCTCAATAAGCCTGCATTTATTTGATTAAAAATACAGTAAAAACAGGAACATTGTGACATTATTATAATTCAGAAGAACTTGAAAAAGTTGAAATTTCCCTCATGATCCCTCAGAAATCATTCTAATATCAATGTTGAAAACACTTGTGCTGCTTAATGTATATATATATATATATATATATATATATATTTTTTGAAAAACATAATACATTTAGTAACATTGCAAAATTCTGGGTTGTTTTAACCCAACTTTGGGTCAAATATGGACAAACCCAAACATGGTTTAAAATGTAATAAAAAAAATGTAACCCAATGGCTGGGTTTGTCCATATTTGACCCAAAGTTGGGTTAAAACAACCCAGCATTTTTTTAGAGTAAACTTTTTTACTGTTCTATTTCCAGTTTGATGAATGAATCTGATTTATCAGCAGAGATTTTTTAACATTTCTTTCTTGACTCATTATTTGATCCGACAGCCAAAAGTCTTTCATTTAAAAATGCACTATAAGGCGGTCTCCAGTGTGATACAGTGCAGTACACTATTATCCCAATAGCCAGTGTTTGTTCTCATCAGTGTTTTTGTGTGTTGCTAGGTGGGATCCCATTATGATATCAAGTTTCCTCTTTTCTTGGCGAAAAAAGCTGCCGTCACATTTGAAGAAAGTGAACGATTATGTCTCAAAACGCCGTGCGGACAGAATTCAAGGATAATATTTCACTCCGGTGGAAAAAGACATCTTCCCCACGGTATTCAAAGACAAGAAATCGCGCTGCGTCTCTCCCCACACACAGAGGGCTGCACAACCTGCCCGTAATCCTGTGAGGGAAGAGGAGTGTTAGGTGAAACGCAGTGTAACTATTTTTACCAGGTGTAAAAGATATCACTGCGACTGTGTTAAAGACATCAGCAATTACTGACCCTCACACTCTCTTAAAGTCTGTCGCCACGAGCAGATGTTTCTTCTTCAAAGCCCCTGTAGCTTTTTCATTTTCCTTTTAATTCCCTGGGAACATTTTCCCGCTTCCTCTGGTAACTCTCCCCCTGCTTCCATCCATATATTCCTTTTTTCCCTCTGCATGTCAGTCATTCCATAAACATTTCCTCATCCATCCTGTTCATGTTTTCATACACTGCTCGTTCATCCTTTCTCTTCCTCTGTAACTGTATTTTGGTCTTCCTTTACAAAAATGTAATTCACCTAAATCCAAGGTGTGGGGCCCTTTTGTAAAGGGGTCCTATTATAGCTTTTACGAAGTCTTGATTTTGTTTTTGGGGTGTACTAGAATGCTGACTCAAATGTGTCGTTTATTTCCCATTTCGATGAAGCCCCGAAATAAGAAATGTGCTATGATTGGTTAGCTGGCCAGGTGTGTTGTGTTGTGAAATGTCCCGTCAATTTTAAACCAATTCAAGCTCGATTCAGACTTAATAATGTAACCAAACAAGAGGATCGTCCTCACACTGTGAAGATCTAAACATATTTAGATATACAGGAAATCACAATGGAAGACGATTTCGATATATCAACAGACAACGTTGAATTTTTTTCGCAACCGCGGAAGAGATCACTTCCGGCGCTTTCCAGCACGTGCGCAGACAACTTGGACGTGACTGTGATTACAAGAGGTAAAAACTAAATATATATTGTTCGTTTTCTCACACAAACCGCTCGTTTCGTGTCTTAGGCCATCAATGTGTACTTACATTTACGACTCATTAAATCATATTTAATTTGGACTTCTCTGTGCATGCTCTTTGAGGGAAACCCCATAGACCTCCATTATATGACTGACAGACAAGAACGGTTTGACCTAAAAATATCAAAATTGAAAATACTGTGGAAACAAGGACACCTACATCTTGGATGCCCTTGAGGTACGCTAAAACATGAATTAATACAGTAAACTATTGTCCCGATAAAGTTAAAACTGCTCCATTTCAGAAATAGCCAGCATTTTCTCTCTAAGCTGTTCTCTGTAAAACGTGCAGCACACATAACTGCGAATGGGTGGTTGCCAGGGCGTTGCTATGCAGCCACTACTAAATGGGTTGTTTTAATCACGTTACTACTGTAGGTGATGGTTAGGATTTTCTTGATGATTACTTACAGACCTCATCAAAAAAGCTCAAGTATAGATGTATGTGTGCCTTTGGGATTTTTTCAGCTGTTTCATTGTCCAACAACAAAAAAATGTAAGTCTATCTGCTGAGAGAAGTAATATCACATCTCTCCAAAATGAGATTTTATGCATCACTCATGTCCTTAGCACAAATAGTGCAGGACGAGCTACACGCCAAAATTTAATTTGCAGGATTAGGGGTTTGTTCAGATCCCCAAGTATGAGATATAACCACTAATAAGTGCAGTAACTATGCTATTTCGGTGGTCACCATGGTAAATATTTGTTGCCGCACAAGCCTGATCGTTCCATTTGAATCCAAAATACTTCTCTCTTTCCTCTCGCTAATCTTTTTCCTTCTCTCCACGCCAGCGCTCTTTTGTTTCTTCCAGTATGTAACCTTCTTTCTCTCCCTCCATCACTCGCTCTGACGTTCTTTCTCCTTATCCAATCCACACTTTCCGCTTTTCATTTTTCTCTCATTTAACAAAATGCCAATCCTCTCCACCTCCCTCAGACCGGCCGGCCTGCCGCCAGAACAAACTCAGAGCTCCATCTGCGAGACCAAATCTCACGCACGACTCCTGCAGCAGCCTTTCATCCCTCGATTCCTCTATTTATCCATTATGCTTTCTTCCCCTCCCTCCATCTGTCTGTGCTGTAACAGCAGGCCCCTGTTCTGTGCCCCTGTGTTATGCAGAAAGCCCAGAGGAACATGTTCCCACGTGTAATGGGACGTCAAGGGTGAGGGGCGAGTCCACGTGCCAAGTGTAATACCACAGGAGGCTTTTTTTAATATGACAGGGATGTGTTTTGACCGTAAGGTGGCTCTACCGAATCAAAGCTCCAAACGAAACACGGCTGAGCTCATAACTCATTTATTATGCTCG